CGGTTGAGGAGCGTGACGAATATATTCGTATGATGGTGTGCAAATGCGAGGGACTTTACACATTCTACAAGCTGTGGATTGCAGCGAGAATCCTCGATGTCACCAAGGAAGAAATGAAGCTCCTGGTCAAGGACCGAGTGCACCCGGTGGGTGATATTATTTTCAGATGTTTTGCACTAGCTTTCAACTGTAAGTATATATCATTCGTGAGGGATGGCCTGAACCTTGGCAAACATGGTTACACGGTCAACGTGAGCGCCATCATCTCGGCCGTCGACCCGAACAAATGCGACACACCCCTGCTGGATTGGTGCCTTCGGAAAGGGCACTGGTTGCCAGAGGACTACAACAAGAAGTGTGTCCGGGCACGAGAAGCCCAGAAGAACTTGGACGAGGAGTTCCGTCGACGCACTCACAGACTGTCCATTGGGGACCGGTATGCGTAGTGAAGATGCTGATTGCGGCACGATGTGGGTTAGTCCCCATCTGTTGCTTGCGTCTCATCAACACCATTGCGATGGAACGACTTTACATTATGATATGATTTCATATATCCAAGTTGAATGGATGTGTACATGGTTACATATTCCGATGACTATGACGCTCTGGATATTCATGGATGGAACTATTACCTTATAGATGATATCTTTTCATTATTTATGCATTGTCCATGGTATCTGGAATGGCTATGATTTGCATTGATTACTCACCGATGTTTCTTTGCCGGAGATATGCAGACCGATCACAAGCGGGCGCGTCTGGTGGACTTTTGTGGCCAACCCATTTATGGATGACAGCTGCGCGATGCGCAAATGCGGCAGCTGGAATGTTCACTGGCGGTCAAGTGAAGTGGCCACAGTGTATTATATACACCTGCATATGGATGTGTGCTTCGATTGGAGGATGAATGTTTCACTTTTCGTACAATCGAACCCGGCATGTTTCACAGCGAATGAACGGTGTAGTGATAGCAAGTAAAAGAATGCACGACACGATTTCGTAGTTGAAGCCGTGGCCAGTGGAACGTTTTGTGGTGTTTGGACCGCATGATGAACAATGCGACCCAAATGGGGGATGTTAAAACCCTCTAGGCCCCGTGCCGAAATTGGGTAGCTGTTCTGAGGTCCTTGTTGGTGTTGCTTCCCAAGTTCCATTGATCGCCATTTGGCTCAAGACACAATTGAGGTTCAAGATCTGATGTGTGACTGCATACATACGTGATCGGCATTAAGAGCGAAAACACTTCGCTTGCGCTGCATTTGTCAGGACCACTGTTGTAACTATCATTCCTTCTCCCTTACAACGTTTACACGGGTTCGGCTATAACGGCATCGTCCGTATACACCTTTCTACGTGGTTGGTATTACAGCTTGAGGGTTCGGTGCATAGCGTCCCACGGGACGTCACCTTGCCGTCTCTTGACAGCCCCAGAATGGTTCGGCCCCATGTCGGATGGTCGCAAAGCGGGAACCAAAAGGAAACAAAACGGTTGGAGGGGTCCGGGTCCTTTATAGAATTCCTCGAAGATGCATGGACCCAAAGCATATGCCGACTTTAGTTGTCCTAGAACAAGGTTTGTGGCAAAGGCATGCCATCCCCAAGGAAACATCATGTCCAAATGTGAAGGTATAAAGTCTCAATCTTCGGGCATGGCAAAGTTGTCCCGAAGGCCAAAACGACCTGCCAACTGAAACATACCATCAGTGAGCCTGTAGGCGGCTGCAGACTACAGCATGGAGGCCTCGGTGTTCAGAACTTCCGTGTTTGCAGCTTTATGGATGTGCTTTTCTCTATAGGGAAAGCTCTGTTTTGAGGAGAACCCCATCCCCCCGGGGTTCAAAACATTGAAACAATGGTTAATGTAACCATCATTTACCGTTCAGGATTTTCCTCCAAATTGGGTCCCCTTGGGCACCCCAAATCATCCAGCGTGGGGGTTCCGCGTATTGAAAAGAAACCCACAGGCCCTCAAGGCTCTGCTGAAGCAAGCTAGGGTTTTTTGTGCCAGTCTGAGGTCGTAGTGAAGCCAGCGGTGTTCTCACTGTTCCTCATTTGCCAATAGGAGGGCCCAGTTGGAAGAGTACGGGCTGTCAAAAGATCCCTAGCTTTTAGCCACATGTCTTTGTTTCATGGAAGAGAGGCCGTTGCGAGTGGACGGCTGGAGCAATCTCCGAATGTGCCTTTGCCAAGTCCAGCAGTGTTGATTCACATTTGATGCTTTGGGCCCTCCCAAAGTAGCTGGGGGCGATTTTCTGGTTAAACCAATGCCAGCTCAGCATCCTCTGAATATTTTAATCCCAGGGTCGTTTGCTCTTGGGCATGTTTAACTTTAAACAAGGAGTCAATGAACCACTTCGGAGGGTAAAAGGCTCACAGAGGCAAGTGTCATAAGAGGCACACAGATGCAAGTGTCAAAAGCAAGAACTACTCCTACTCCTACTCGCTTTCTCACAAACGTGGTACGCCACTTACATGAGTCTTGTGTGCTCTGTGTGTGTGTGTGTGTTTTTGAGAGGATATATACCCTCCTGGGATTGACTTGAAGGTAAAGGAACACCGGGCGCCATTGCGAGGGTTCCCCTTGGAGAAGCACCCATGACTTACCGGGCAGACCAATATGGCAACCCGCATGTAACTCGAGGACGTGCTTGCCGCGTTTCGTGAGCCTAGCATTTGTGACAAAGCCCCGATGGGAATCTCACTGTGGTATCGCAAGAGACCCATCCTTTCTCAACAGGAAGGTCCGAGCCTAGAGATAACTTGCTGGTTCTCAGCAGGGAACGACCCCTATAAACCATCCCCTATGGTTTTGCTTTAACGGAATCTCCAAAACCGGTTCATTTCCAGCACCCCGTCTCGGTCATTCCCTATCGCACGAGCAAGATGATCAATCGAGGGTAGAAGCTTGGCTCGCTTTCCTTTGGCTCCTGCTTGCCGGCATGTCCGTTCCTTTGGCTCCCCCTATGGTTTCCTTTTAAGGGAATCCCCTGCGGTTCATTTCCACCAACCTTGGCTCCATCCCCTATGGTTTCCTTTAAAGGAAATCCCCTCCGATTTTGATCTCCACCAACCTGTCGACACCTTGGCTCCTCTGTACATCTTGCAACCCTTGGCGCCCTGATCCCGCAGGTCCTGCCTGAAGAGCCGCCCCCTCCGGAGTTGGAGGATCCGTATCCCGATCCGCGCCTTGGATACGAAAGAAACCGGACGTTTCGGGCCCAAGGACCAAAAACATATCCATGCCTCAGGTCTGGTGTACTGTTGCCATGAGCCATGGGCTTGATCAAAAATTGCCCCTTCGGCCCTAAGATGACCAATTGGGTCACTTTTCTCATGTGGCGAAAGCTGTCTTGTTTGGTGGTTTCCCATTGGTCATTCCATGTAAGGGCCTTTTGATCAACCCGCATGTGTTTGACTTTGTTTCAGTAACGCCTTCTGCTGCAATCCTTTGTTAGCGCTTCAGTTCAATGACCGGCTCTGCCTGGTGTTTGATTTGTTGCTTTTACTGTTGGCACAGGTCCGGCCATTGTGAGATGATTGCAGAATTAATATTGTTTTGTGTGTGTGGGAGAGAACGGATGCGGATGTGCTTGCCACTTGTCACTTTCCTGCTTTGGGCATGTTGTTTTTTGTTCGTCCTTTCCTTCATTCTTGGCCCTCTCCCCCTTTGTCCTCATTCCCATGGGGTTGTCTCAAAGGGGCGGAACATGGTTGGCTTCCGCTGTGGATTCCTTTGAAGCCAAAGGGGGGTTCTCTCACAGACACACCTCCATCATTGCCTAGGCAGGAGTTCCAGGATGTCTTTGATGGGGACTTTGAAGGCGGTGGTGCGGGGTGGATTGTCCCAAGCCTGGGTATTGAAGAAAGATCCCTGGGCATAGGTGTCCTTTGTAGGTTGGTTTGGTTAAAAATAGATGGCACTGGTTGAGATAGGTTTTCTTCCATTTACCAGGGCCTTCCATTTTGTTTCCAAAAGGCCACCTATGTCCCTGGGCCACTCGCGGAAAGTCGCAGCATCAAACCGCTTCTTGCAGGAGTCCCTGAAGTGTCCCCTTTTGGGATCTCGAAACATACAGCCCTTCTTCCGTTGAGATGGACGGCTTTTTTTGCCCATGACAAGCAGTTCTTTGCCTTGCCGAGGAAACAAACCGAAAGCAAAGCATGAATGAGGCCACAGCCAAAGTAGTTGCCTTGTTCGAGTGGTGAACGGACCGGCCAAAATCCCCTGACCCCAGCCTGCCGGGTGCGGCCACCCTGTTCAAAAAGGGGCATCTCCAATCAACCACACGGAAATGAGTCTGGGACACATGTATGAGCTCATTTCCCTAATTCTTGGATATGTCCAGGTTTTGTGGATTCCTTCGGAGCCTCAAATTGTTCAAGTCCTGGTTGATGAACAGGGACAGTGTCGAGCGTCGAGCATCGGTGTTTTGAAGTGACCAGTCCCATCGGCGTCCCACACGAGACACCCAACGAGATGAGTTGAGTTGGACGATGTGGTACGGGTTTTGAGGACACCCCGAATCAATCGGGATACTAAAGAAGTGAACCTCAAGGCCTCAATTAACGTATGCAGTTTGGTAGAAAGAGTCATTGGGCTCTGGTCGCAGCTTGTTCCTCTTTGTGATGACTGACCATATTCAGCATCACTGTGAGGACGGTACCCAATGTGACTAAAGAGGAGAAGACTGGCATGGTTCTCAAAGTTGACATGCTTTCGGGTGACTTACCGTTTTCCTGTCAAGTTCATTTTTTCTGGTTTTGGCCACGGTTCAAGCAGTCCCTTTTGCATGTTGGAAGTTTCAATCAACAAGGACAGTAAGCCGACCTTCTTTCAACAACTGCCTGGATTGCAACTCAACTGACTCTGGCAAACCGGCGTCAACCTGCCTGGAGTTGACTGGCACAAGGAACATGTATGCAGATAGCTGGGCATCCACCAGAGTGTCGGATGGGCTTCACCGTTTTTTTTTGGGGGGGGTGCTTTCAGACGTTCTGACATGGGGTGTCTGTTATTGCTGGGATGTCTATCAACTTCCCGGCTTCATGTTCGCACGTGGCCATCGGTCAAAACCCCGTACTTCCAGTGAACATCCCAATCCCCACTAAAATGGACTAAATGGGTGGTGCACCTACCCCAAAATGGTACCATTGGTTTTGACCCACAGCCAGGTGAGTTTGATCCGGGCGAGCAGGCAGGGCGAGTCACTCAATTGGGAAGCTGGGAAAGGCATACTGCGGATATCCCCATGGACAACACGATTTGTGTGTGTGTGTGTTTTTGCGGTGCCCTTTTGGGGTCGCTCTAAGAACAGCTTCCCTCGATGTTGAATCGTATTTGTCTTGAGCAACGAAGGAGACAATCAAAAGGTGATGTGTCTCTACGGCTTGTCACTGGTACTCAAAAGTGGTTTCAAGGTTGGCAAACCCTGGATCAGTCTGGCTGACGTGAATCAAGTGGGCATGAGTTAAATCACAACATGAGTCACATGAGGGTATCCTAAACTCGGGTGGGTCCCTCTTGAGTGGCTCTGATACGGGTTGGGGGGGGGGCCAGGACCAAGTTTTGGTGATGCTCCCTTGCGAGCGCAGAGTCCATGGCCGTGAGATGCAAGTAGAGTCGTACCAGACCAAGGTAGACTTGAACCCAGGGGGCTTGCTTTCCAGTGAAAGGAAATTCCCTAAGTTTGAGTGTGCCTTGGTAGTCTCAGAATCCTGTTCACGGCCGTAGAACCCAAAATTGAGTGGCAACACAAACGTGCCGTTCCGAGGCAGTAGGCCATGCTTTCTGTGGGTTGTGTTCCACAAGAAACATCACCATGGCAAATGTAGGTCCTTTTTCTTATGTTAAAGGGAAACCAAAAGGAACGCCTCCATTTTGCGGGTGCCCCCAAAAACAGACACCCCCATTTGAGCAACCTCACACGGGGGGTTTTGCGACTAGGTGTCTCTCATGGCGCAGCCGTACGTTTCCCGGTCGTGACTTGTGACTATTTTGCCAGGCAACGCTTTGTTACGCAAAGCAAAGCGCACCGGAATGAAGCAATGGCCAATATCCACCGCGTGCTTGTGTGCACAGACCCTTGGAAGACTTGACATCCGAAGTTGTCCAAATGGGGCTACCCCCCAAAAGATGGGCGGTGTCAACTTGTGGTTTCCCTTGAAAACACCCCCTTTGTTTGGGGGCACCCTAAAACCAGCAAATGAAGGGAGAAACAACACTGCCCTTGTCAATCCCATGGGCCAGGTCGCGCTCGTGGTTCATGGGGCTTGAGTCTATGGGGTGCTGTCCTTTTGCTTTCCCTCTAAAGGGTGCCAACCCCAACAAAAGGTACCCCTGCGGTTCAGTTACCACCAGGGTTGTGGAATCAAGGGGTTTATTCCCACTTCTGTGATACAAGAGAATCTCCCCCTTTATCTGGGGTTACCAGCAATAGATCACTACTTGGGTGAATATAACCACCATGAAATTGTCCAAGTTGGATGTTCATCGTCCAACTTGGGTCAACCATTCGTTTGATGCGGGTTGAACCCAAGGGGTACCTTGGTGCCTTTGTTGCTTTGGCGGCCCCTTTCTTAAAGCCACAGGTCACCCTCAAAAGTAGGACCCGTTGTCGAGCGGTCAGGGCCGAAGATACACAACCGAATTTCCATTTTCCCGGTGGGCTTTCTTTAAGCAAGCTCAAACAAGGGCATGTTTGAGGGTAGCTTGAGGGTCCGGGTACTGTCCGGAAAACAACCATTCACTATAGCTGGTGATTAAGGAAGCTAAGGAGCTACCAGGAGCTACAAGGAGCTACCAGGAGTTCTGTAAGGACATGGTAGTGCAATCTTGATCAACTCCTGTGGGTCTCCGTTTACCCTGAAATTCAGGCAGGCCACCATGAAAACAATGATTGGGTCAACAGATATATACATATATATATAACTTCACCATTGTTTACCCTTCAACATATTTTCATTAATTCAAGTTGGGCTTTCAATGGGGGGATGAACCCCAGAAAAAGTGCATGTGTAAACCCTGTGATTCACATCTCCAAATGCGAACCAGTCGCTTGCTTTCCAGACTTCTATTCAAGAGTTGCCAGTTGAAATCCATGGTCCAAACCCACATGGGCCAAGGACCTGCCCAAAGTTTCAAGATGTCTCAGTGTTTTTTGGGATTTGTTTTGCGCCATTTCAATGGAACTCGGCCTTCGGACCCCCAGAACTCGGAGCTGTACCCCAGGGCCCCAGAACTACCGAGCCTCGCTGGCGCAGGAGGGCTTCGGCGTGGAGGAGCTCAGGCTCTTGGACGAGCCCGGCTCTTGGACGAGCCGGGTCTGGCGAGTCACAGGTGAAACCGGGTCAGGGGGCAGAAGGCGGCTTTTGGAGAAGACAAGCTCTTTTTCTGGGTTGGTGGAATCTCAGCAAAGAATGTACGGTTGTTTTTCATGTTCTGGTTGCTTGTTGTGGATCATTTTCTGGTGCCTGTTTGTGGAACACCAACAAATGGACGTAGATAGCTGAATGCTTGTGTGTCTTTTTGAGGCTACCGCGGATGGACGAAATCCTGCGCCACTTGGAACCTATGGTTATAGGGGAAAAGAGTAACCAGGAGACCAGGGCCCTTGGGGTTAAGGGAAGCCAAATTGAACGCACCGGACTATTGGCTTACTCCAATCGTGACTCAATCGGATACTCTCTTTTGTTGGAGATCCCGTGCCATGGTTGTTCAATCGCTGTTTGATTTCCCGAAGCAACCGCTTGGCAGCCAGTTGCCAAACCCTATGGGTGTGTGACCAGTTTCCGGACTTCGATAGCATGTTTAGGCCGAAGACAAATTGAACAGTGCAGGGTACTTTAAAACAGTCAAGATAATATAACAGTGTGCTTTCACGTTCTTATTTTCATTATATTGGCATGTAAGCAATGAAACATCTTGGGACTTTGTGCAGGTCCATGTGGGTTTTGACCATGGGTTTCAACCGGGAACTCTTGAATTGAAGCCTGGGGAGCAAGCGACTGTTTCGCATTTGGAGATGCAAATCACAGAGTTAAACATGCACTGTTTCTGGGGTTCATCCCCCCATTGTAAGCCCAATTTGGAGGATGAACATATGTTGAACGGTAAATAAGGGTGAACATTCTATAAACCCAAATCATTGATTGAATGGTGGCCTGCCTGAACCCCGGGGACTCTGTTGGCCTTAGGAAGCGGTTTTGTTCTTTGAGAATTTGCAGGGGGTTGAGTTGTGAGCGTGGCACACAGCCAAAGTCAATACCTGAGCAACTGGAACACTTTCCACCAGAAGTGGCAGACGGCTTTCTGCAAGCTACAGATAATTTGGGTACTGTATCTTTCTTTAAGGGACCACCTTTGAGTCAGGGTGCCACTCCTCTTGTTTTTGTATCCAACTGCATTGTGGAGGATTTCCAAGGAACTCCTTGTATTTGGGCAGTGTGAGGCTCGAGCCCGCCCCCCCGTGACGAGCAACATAAAAGACCCAATGCGATTCTTTTTGCCCTGTCCGTTTGGTGAGTTCGGGACCCACTGAGCATGGACAACCCCAACAGAGGGTCGTTCTAACATAAGTACCTTGCTTGGAGGACTGAAGGTTGCAAGCACTGGTCACGAGAGGACAGCCATCGCAGAAGGGCATCGTGTGAAGTTCTAGGGGTACCTTCCCCATTCTTCCCAGGCATCCTTCTTTCTACAAAACCACCCAAAACCCTGGGGAAACAGATCCGGTTTTTTGAAAAGAAAGATGGTTGAAAAGAATGGACAAGGAATCAACCCCTGGAAGAATGGACTTGGTTGGGACTTAAGCCCCGCACAATCGACTGGGTTTTCCCTCGCTCAGAAACCATTTCGTTCCTCACAACATGAGGGAGCCATAGAGAAGTACGATCGTTGCGCAGGCCCTACTTGCGACACCTCATCCGAGGTACCAAGAGCTGCCAGAGATGGAGGCGGAGTTGCAGGCGCAGACAGTTGGTGCCCTTTGCCCGACGGATTTTCGCCAGGTTATCATGCAGAGTTTGTCCGTAGTATGATAAAAACAAGTTCAGCATTGCCCCGCGTTTCACACTTTAAGCAATATGTCAGCTTTGTTTGTTCGAAGAAGCAACATTGATGTTGAATGGTTAGTTCTTAGTTCATTTATTCAAGTAAAGTGAAGTGTTTCAGCTCAATTATCATATTTGGATGACAAGCGACTATTGTGTAGTCAATGGAAGTATTCTTTCTTTTGTTTATTCTTTTGATATTATTGACGACTTTTCTTGCCGGTTTGACAGCGCCACAAGGCGCAGGCATTTTCTGTCCGGGCTGACCCAAAAAATAGTTCGGCGACAGGGCAAAGGCTGGATGCGAGCCCGGCCCGAAGCTTGTCATCATCAGGTGGTTGACCGCTGACGGCAAAAAGGAAGCGAGGGGGTCCACGTCCAGATCATATGTTGACATTCCCGACATGGGCTGAAGAAAACAACCCCGCGCCTTTTCGTTATGGGGCCGTCCCTTAGCTTGTTTTGCAGGCCAAAACCATTCTAAACCGTTGAGAGTTCTGAGTTCGAGGGCCGCACCGGCCCCGATCTCTCACGACGCACCCTGAGCACCGGAAAAAAAAGCTGGCCATGTGAGGGAGTGGTATATCATATATATATATATATTATATATATATATCCTGGATCAGCATGGGTATCCCTACAGGAACCATGGGATCTTGTCAAACGCGATGTCCATGCTTTCGTATTAGGGGTAGCTTGTGTCCAGGTTTCTCAGACCTGGTTTAGGCTCAAGAGAGAGCCAGGCATCCAGCGATACTAAGCTGGATTTGTCTGACAAACAGCCCCAACGGCGCATCTTTTGGAAACAAAAGACACACGACCCGCAGCACAAAACGCAATGTGCAACGTGAAACACGGCGCTTTTGCCTTAAGCCAAGCAGCACCGGGTGTCTTCATGTTGAAAGCCAGCATTGGCAGAAAGGATGTGCTGGGCTGGCTTGGCTCCTCTACGCCCGGTTGATTTTGTCAACGTGTGTTCTCTTTGTGCTGGTCTGTGTCTTTGATTGTGTGAACCCGCCAACGCGAATTTCCTTCTCAGAATGACTTTAGCTGCGGGCCAACTCCCGCCAATCGCGACCCCGCGGTTGAACACAAAAGTGACCTCACGAAGCACAGGTGTCCTTTTTCGGTTGGTTAGATTAACACATAGAGGGCCCTGGCTGGTGGTTCAATCATCTACCAAGACTACCTATTTTTCCAGTTATCTTCCAACAAGAACACCTATGCCGCGAAGGCCAAAAGTAGTTGGCAGAAAACAGGTCCGCGAAGCGTCTCGGCGAAGCCACCATCTTGTCATGAAGCCTCCCAGCGCAGAAGCCCCTCTAAGAACAATATTTTAAAAGAAGGTCAGATATGTGTTGCCCCACGGGATGTTCGAGGGCAATCCTCAATCCTTTCCTTGGGTCACGCAAGGATTTGGTCCTCTTTGAAGTGTGGAAAATCGGATGGGCCAAAGGAGCCTGATGGGTCAAACAAAATTCATTTTGAACAGCCTCAGGAGCCGCCTGTTTTAAAGGGAAACCACAAGTAAACCACCATTTGGGTCCATGTGGGGGCTCCCCTTTGACACAACCCTTATTCTTGGCTTCAATCCCGCGCCTTCTCTTGGCTGTTGAAGGCTTTCAGCTGGGTGGGGAGTCGATAGGCCTTGGAGGCGGAGAGGTGTGCGGACTTTCTGAATGCGCCCTTCGCGGAGAGGCGCGGAAAGAAACCCATTCACAAAATACCCAACCGTGCAGCCATGGATGAGTCAGACGTTGCGGGAAAAACAAAATGAGCAAGAGGACGCACAGTCCTTGCTCCCGGACATCCGGGTCCTTAGCTTTTTAGATATTTTTGGTTGGTTTAGTGGTTGAGTTTCCATTTAACCCACAAGTTAAGCTTGTAGCAGGGGATTTGAGGACGCGCAGAGTCCCTGTTGAACACCCTTGGCAACGCACGGTTCCGGATCAGTCAGGCATTGTGCTCCGCTCTTCGAGAGCCCGAGCAGTTCCGTTTGTTTGGCTTGCAAGTTTTGACCTCAGACAGTCTTTCTTTTTGATTCCTGTTAGTGCCCTTTGCCCTTGTTGGGGGGTTGTTCCCCTACTAAAATAGACTACAGAAAAAAAGGGTACTCTGATTCTAACCTCTCTGCTGGAGGACCTAGTGTTAAGTGTTCAATGGGGCCAGCTTGCTTGGGGCTGGCAACTTTATGCAATAGCTCGCTCGCAGTTTGGTGCACCACTGCCTTTACCACAAACAATTATCCTGCTAAGAGTAGATTGTCAGGCCAAAATGAGCTCTTCCTTAGCCAAGATAAGGTGTGGGATTGGCGGGGTCGGCCTTGCTTTACAGTGTCTAGATGAAGCATGTTGGGTGCCTGGAGTTAAAATCGCTCTGGTTGGCCAACTTCTTGGTCAAAGTCACTGCCCGGGAACGGTCAGTATTTACTCTTATCTTCGGAACGCTCACCAAATTACTGGTCGACTCCTTTGACCTCCCCTCAAACGAAGGAGTCAAAACAAAGGAGTCGTTTGAACTATATAATCTTAACGCCGGATTGACCCCCTGGTTGATTAATACGGGTGTGTCCCCTTTTAGTGGGGATTCATACCACTTTTGGAGGGGTTTTTATTCCGCTAAGAATGGGACGGGTTCTACTTAGATCCTGGGTCAACATTCGTCACCCAACTCCAATGTCGGAGACCCCCGCTGAATATTTGACTCGCATTCGCGTTGCCCGAGCAGCCGAGCCGGCAGGTCGGACGAGGGTGGGCGACCTGGGGAAAGAGGGAGAGAGAGACCGGACTCAGCTCGGATTCACCCGCGGATTCTCGGCGGGGTTGAAGGTCCCTATGATACGTGATACCAAGGGAATCCCCTGCCAAATGGAGAAAGTAGTAAGTCGCTGTTGGCTTCTCAAATGCGTTGCCGAGGCCAAGCAACATTTCGTGACAACAACAACCACAAATGCCTACTCGACACTGTTTAAGGGATGATCGCTGACTTTTGCGGACAGAGTGACAAACAAAACAAATGAGCAAATCAAATGGCCATTGTACCGCACAAATTGCGAGGAACCAAGAACTGCGCAGGTTTCCTAGAGCCAAGTAGCCAACTGGCTGCAAAAACTCGCCGAGATGTTTGGTGATTCTCCCAAAAGGTTCCTTTCCAGACCCTCTACTCAACTTCCGGCGAAGCTTGCAAGCCCGCGCTTTGAGGTGAGCCAAAATGGGAGGAGCCGGAGGCAGGCTTTCATCTGGCAGTCTATGCAGGCAAGTAGCTAGAGATGACTAAACCAGCATGAGGGATTGATTTCGCTGAATTCGTCATCTACTTTCACCCAACTTTAAGTGGGTTGGTCAATGTCAATCTGTAGCAACGTTGGAGCTCCACTATGAATTGTGGATTAGGATTCGGGATCCCCTGTTGCCGGAAATCAGATCGGGGACGCCCAACAAACAATTTGTTTGTGCCACAGTCCAAACCCGGGTAGATGAAATCGGTAGCGAGGGACAACCCCATCTGGATGCTTTACATGGTTTCTGGTAGATCCTCTTTTGTTGATTGCGGCTCATTTGGCCATGAACATGAGAAAAGAAGGGAGTGCCTTGAGCAGATATCGATTTTATCGATTGGGTGGGGATTGAGCTTGCCCATCATGATATTATTTTACATATATGAGATTTCGGAATGCCGGTTGGCCACGTTATGGTAAAGTTAGTGCAGACGGTTTGTGGTTGCATCAATTACCATAGCATATCTCTGACGTCCATCCAGGGGTCGCCTTTGGTTGAGTTAGCAACCCGAGGCGTTGTTCGCTTTTATCTCACTCAGGGAGGCTACCAAAAACACGCGCGAGAAGGTTACTCTATGTGGCCAAACCCCTGTGTTGGCGGGTTCACATAGCAGGAGCCAAGCACCAGCACATTGCCCCCTTCTGCCAGGGTTGGCTTTCCAAATGAAAGCACCGCCACTGGCTGCTGTTGATTTGCTTGGCCCGAAGCTTCCGTGTTCGACCAGCCTGTCTCCCTCGTTTGGGCTTCCGGAACGCAGCCAGTCAAGTGTTAGGAAGCTGCGGCTGAGTGATTTGACACAACACGGCAAAACACGGAGCTCAGCACCACCACGTGCATCTTCAGCTTTTTGGTAGATTCCTACCCACTAACATGGCACCCAAACGGTCTTTGTGACATGCATCGCGGGTCCCAACGATGGCGGGAGAGTCGCCTTCCATGCAAACGACTCCCTACAGATGCCCAGTTGGCTGTGGGTCAAAACCAATGCTACCATTCTGGGGTAGGTGAATTCACCACCCATTTTAGAACCTATTTTTTATTGGTTGGATGGGGAGGTTCACTGGTACGATTTGGCTTTTGACCCATGGCCACTTGGGCTTCAGGGAGCTGTCGGAATTCAGTCAGGCCTTCGAGCACCAGAGCTGCGCCGACTTCTTGAATCGCTATGGGCACGAGAGGCGCTTGTGGTGTGCACAGCGCCCGGGGTTGGCTTATGAGCCATCGCATACTCAACTATGTCTCCCCGACCTCTGTTGGTGTCCCGTTTTCGTCCTGCTTTTTTCGCGAAGTGCCCTTCAAGATCAACGAAGAAGAATTGTGATGGAATTCGGTATCTTTCTGCTGGAATTCCGACGCGTAGAGGGGTGCAACTTTGGCTCTGCAAGGACGGACAGGATGGAAGGGATGGGGAACGTGTTTGTGGGGCTATTAAATTAGGGTGTTGTTGGTGTCGGGAAAGGGGGAGCTTGTTTGCCGGCAACTTCAGCGGATCGTTTGCAGGTTGATTCGCCACCCTCTGTCTTGACTGAAAACAATTATTTATAGTGAAAGATCCCGTTTAAAACCAACAAACAGTGACAAATATTCGTAAGTATATGGAAGGCAACATGCATGTATATATTTTTGCCAAAAAAGCTTAAGCAATCGGCAAATGGTGGTTGTTGTTGTTGCGTTTGCAAATCATCCCTCCGAAGTGGCCAAGTGGTTCCAACTGTGACACGATGCATCTGTTTCAACCTGCCGCAGGTCTGAGAGTGGGGCACTTGGACCGCAAAGCTCGGGAACGGTTTCGACCTCTTCTTTGTTGAACAAACTGCAGTTGGACTTGTTACACGTAGGGCTTGGGCTCCGATTTCTCGGGGCTCGAGTTTTATGTTCTGCCTAAGGGTGCCCAAGAAGGGTTCTTGGGCCGAGAGTGGTTTCTTTCAACCAGGCGGCGACAGGTTTTAAAGGGACGCCAACAGGAAAACCACCAGTTTTTTTGGGGGGCTCCCCTTTTTTAAGACAAACCCATTTGTTTCCACTGCTGCCAATATCCATTTCTGTCTGAGCACGGCCTTTCGGGAGTTGCTATGACTCATGACCAGATGTGTCATGCACAAACTGGCACTTATGGAATCAATGTTGAATTGTGTGAGTGTATATATATATATATATATAAATATGTTAAATACATACATCTATACACATTATTTTGGGTAATGACCCCATTTTTGAAGGGTCATGGAGTCACATAGTTTGGCTCTTTTTTCGTTTGCCGTAGCTGTTTGATGAAACAAAGAGTACTCAACTGCGACTCTCGTCGAAGTGTTTCTCAACCCAGGCCCTTTAGGATCAGCTGACTGCCATGCACCAGTCAGCATCTGAACTCAGCTTTGGTTCGCAAAGGAAAAGCTCAAGTCTTTTGTATGTTGTGCATGTCCGGCATGGAACCATGATTGACAGAAGCATGACTCAAACAGGCCAATTGAAGGTGAGTTTCCCTCTGGTTGGCGATATGTTTGTTTGGTTGGACACGTATTTGGAACCTTTTTGGTGAGGAGACCCTAAACCCAAAACGTGTGGTTAAAGATTGGCGGGACCTAGAACTGACACCTCACCCGAAGGCCTGTTGCCGCTGCGCCGCTGCTTCTAAACACACGCCCGAGGGGCACCCTGGACGCTGAGATTCCTGGCATTGCTACGGCAAGATAAATGGACAGACCCTTTTCGTTCGGGGCGGGGCATCAGGGGGGCATCATGAAATCCCATGTAAGGACCTTGCTTAGGCCCCCTTTTTTTTTGGGGGGGGAGGAGTTTTTTCGTGTTCATGCACCTTGTTTTGCCCTGCCAACTACGGACCCATACGTAACTTGGCGGGACACGGGACTTGGGTCCAACCCCCGAGGCCAGCCGGAGCATCGGTCCGAGGCGCCGAGACCAAAAGTCACCCCGCCCCAAAACTCAGCGCCTGTGTCTAGGTCCCCCGGCAATTGGTGCCCTTCTGAACCGTTTCTTTTTGGTGAGGAGGGTTCCCCTGCGAAATTCGACGACCTGAAAAAATGGTACCCTTATTCTAACTTCTCTACTGGAGGACCTAGTTGTGGTTTGCTTGGCAACGGTGGTTTCTTGGTGTGCGTCCTTGTACAACTGGACAAGGTTGTTTATATTTTGCGGTTGTCTACATATGAGTCTTTCACTATGTGTGTTTGTGCCCCCAGATTCGGGCGAAGAAAGCTCAACAGTTGTTTCTTGGTCTCTTCTCAACATCTTCCCCCTTCCCCCCCCCCCGCAAACAAAAAAACACAAAAAAAAGAGCTGATAAACTTGGTATGACCAAGCCATAGAATAGAGGCTTGGATGTTATATGACTTTCTATTTCCTGTCTGTTGAGGATTGTTCATGAGATGACACGGGAAGGCGAAAAGATGAATGGAAGAGATGAAAAGGACCAGAAAGAACAAGAACCGAGTGGACGAAGTGAATGGGAAGGAAAGGGATGGATAAAGCCAATTAATATCTTTCATTTTGGCCTTTATTTTTAATCAGATTATCATCTCCCACCTCCTCGCGGCTTCCAAGAGGTAGACCTTATGACCTCACCTTGAATCCAGATAAGAGGACAAGCATTCAAGAGCTTACAATAAAGGCTTGGAAGGAGAGAGTGAGGGATGGTGAGTGACGAAGAGATGAATGAAGCGGTGAGGATGGGTGATCACTCTCTCACCCATTGACAAGTCACCGCGAGCGAAGACAGCGGGGAAATGGGTGAGTGAGGAAGGACTTGGATGACAGCAAATTCTATCTCAGCTGTCAACAAACCCACGAACGAAGGGAGGTGGGTGACAGCGGATGGGGAGGTGGTTCTCTTTCATATTGTCCCATCCCTAGACCAAGCCATAGAATAGAGGCTTGGAGGTCATATGACTTTCTATTTCCTGTCTGTTGAGGATTCTCTTCCTTGACCGTGTTAACGAGAAATCCGAATGGCGGGAGGGAATGAAGATGACCGGGGAAATGAAAAAGAGATAGCATTTCCCTTGACCAAGCCATAGAATAGAGGCTTGGAGGTGTAAGGAAAGTGTGATGATTGGAAATGCTGCTATGACGAAGAGATTCTGAGAGCAAACGAAGAACGAAGAAAGAGATGACAGCAAATTGACAAGGAACAAATCTCATGAAGACAGGATATAGAAAGGACAATGATGGATGGGTGATCACTCTCTCACCCATTGACCGCAACCAAGTGCAAAGAGAAAGAGCATTTGGGTGTCAGCGGATGGGGAGGTGGTTCTCTTGCATATTGTCCCACCTCCTCGCTGCTTCCAAGAGATAGACCTTATGACCTCAACTTGAATCCAGATAGGAGGACAAGGATTCAAGAGCTTACAATAAATCTAATATTATAAATCTATTAATGAAAAATACATGATTTCCTTCTTTCCTGCTCTTGGGATTACACCGCCCGGCGAAGATACCAAGGAAAGGAAAGGAGGAGGTGAATGGGATCTCTTTCACCCATTCTCTCCCATCCATCCCTTCATGCCTCACAGAGAAGACGCATCCAACAGCAAACCAATATGAATCCAGAAAGACTGACATGAAAGAAAAAGGTGCTCAGGATCCAAGCCGCTATGACGTGAGGAATAGAAAGGCTTGGAAGCAGAGAGTCAGGGATGGTGAGTCGAGTGCACAGTTAGACCAAGAGCTGGGACAAAGGGAAAGCTCTTGAACCCAAACTCTTTCTCTTTCTCCTCTCCATTGACAGTGAGGAGATGTCCCTTCGTTCCCGCTCTCTTCGTTCACTCACACCGGAATAAAGGGAGACCACTCCTCTCTCCACCACCTGTCAGCTCTTGGAATCTCCGGCATGTGGTCAAGTCTTCATTCATTGGCGGCATCTCTTGACAGGAATTATCCAAGAGATGAAAAGGACCAAAAAGAACAAGAACCGAGTGAACGAAGTGAATGGGAAGGAAAGGGACAGATGGAACGGATTAACTCTCTCACACACCTGTCCATCCCTTTCCATCTCATGCCTCACTCACTTCCTTCGTTCCTCACTCATGGTCAACCTCTTGGCTTCTGGAACACGCTGCAGTGAGAAGAGAGTGGACATGGGATAACGACCTGACAGAGGAAGGGAGTGGGATGACGTGAGGAATAGAAAGGCTTGGAGGTGGGAGATGATAATAAAGCCAACATGAAAGATATTAATTGGCTTTATCCATCCCTTTCCCTCCCATTCACTTCGTTCACTCGGTTCTTGTTCTTTCTGGTCCTTTTCATCTCTTCCATTCATCTTTTCGCCTTCCCGTGTCATCTCATGAACAATCCTCAACAGACAGGAAATAGAAAGTCATATAACCTCCAAGCCTCTATTCTATGGTTTGGTCATATTCCTTCTCCATTCTATTTTCATACTTTAATAATTAAAATAAAACTGTTGTGCTGAAAGGGGTTTGTATGAGTAGCCCTGTGTTCTTGGTCTGTGCAAAGATTGTGGGGGTTCCAGGTTGATTCGCCTGCTTTGTGGTTTGGGGCTCTGATGGCACTGATGCTCTGATTGAGATAGGCTCCCACCTTTACCTTCGCGCTGCTTCCTTTTTGCCATGCCAAGTGGCTTGTGTTCAAACTGAGCTATCCAAAAAGGCTGCCCCTGTTCCCATGTCTGGGCCAAAGTACAACTTCGCAGTTGCCAAGATACTGTTTGGATTGCTGATTGGTTGTGTTCACTTTGCTGGGCTAGGAGCATAGTGTATTGCTGACATACTGGGGGTGGGTAAGATGATTTATCCAGAGTCTCTTTTTGGTGGTCCCCAGTGAAACACGTCAAGCAATGCATGTCCATCCGCTGGTGGCGACTTTGATTCCTTGGTGTTTGTTGGGCATCAACGCAGTAACCTTCACATCAGCCAACGTAAAAGTTTCTCTTTTTCGAGGCAGCTGCTAAAGTCATTGGCAATCGCGATGGACTTCGACATACGTGCAAGACTGGTGACAAGGCGACGCAATCTTGAAGGGACCACTGACAGAAAGACGGCTCAGTTTGCCCTCAGTAAATAGGTCATTAGATCCTCGCATTAACGGTGGCTTCAAGCGACTAAGTGGGTTGAACATCCAAGTAGCATCAGCTGAATACCTTGTGGCTGACCTAATTACTTCCCGGAAACTAAGAGGATGGTCTCAAAGTGGTCAAAACCTGTTTGGATATATTTGCAAGGAAAGACAGAAGGATAGCAACAGCGGTGTTTTTCCAAGAGAAGAAGACATGGATACCTGTTGACTTCGAGTTAGGTCAGATCCTGGGGCCGAACAAGAAGGGATTTGTTTACTTACATTTGCTGAAATGAGTATGTATTATGTTCCCCTGTTGGTTTTAAAGTTGGAATCGATTTCACTATTGGACAAATTTGTCTTATTTTTGTTCCATCCAGGAGACTTCAGCAAATGGAGGTTTGAGATGCAGGGAGGAGACTATCTCTGGAAAGGGGCCCTAGCAGGACCTCTGCTGATTGACTTTCAGGACAGGTGTCCTGCTTTCTTCCTGTGTATCTATCCTGCTTTCCCTGTGGCTTTGTTTGGTGTTCTCTTGATACCTGTCAGGCTTTTCCCATGCCCAAATTCTGCGAACCGAGCGCAATAAGGTGCTGATTTGGGCTGTCAGGATCTGAATCGCCAGTTCATAAGGCAAGACATATCTGCGCATGCGCTTCAAAGGCATCCAAAATATTTGGGGAAGCTGAACCACATCGTGCTGGGTTTGTCTCAATCGGGGAGCCAGCTTTCAAAATGGGCCCAGTGTGTCTCCCTTGCCTATCCAACAATTGAAACCCCAAAGAAAACACGCAGCTCTGATTCTTGGTTGCGTTTGTTGGAAAGGCTTCAACCCTTAAATGGGGTAATCCTCAAAGCAGGCCGTACGATTTTTTCAATGGGATTTGTGTGCTTTTGGGTACTTCCGAGGTCAAGATACAACGCCCATTTACGTGTTTGGAGACAAGCCCGTTTGTCCAATCTCAGCTGGGTCGCGACACAGCAATTGGCGAATTGGGCTCTGTCCGGCTGTTTCCCTTTCCAAAAGTACCTCAGAAAGGGCGGCCGGGTCCAATCTGCTGAAAGAAGCCCCATCTTAGTTGTTCAGTGGCTCCCTTTTTCCCCTTTTTTTTGGTGGCTGCCCCACTAAAATGATCTTCCCAAAAAAGGGTTCCCTTTTTTTCCAGGGTCACTGAGCAACTGACAGAAGCCCCATCCTTTGAACCAAATTGGGCCCCCCAACCGGTAGCTCCCATGCCGCAGGTGGCCGACTTGGTTCCCATCTTTGCATCTCGGATCGATCGGGGAGTGGCTCGATTTTCAAGGACTGAGCACCGAAAGCGTCCCCTATGTCCATTGGCTGAAATGGATGTGTGTTATCTTCGCTTGTCGGCTTTAAAAGGAATCGATTTCACTACTGGAACTAAACTAGCTTCTCATTTTCCCAAGGGGCTGAAGCAAATGGAAGTCGAGCTTGGTGATCCTTTGGGGTATGGGTCTCTTGAAGGAAGCCATCTTGTCAGATGGTCTGAAAGGGAACCACAGGTGTCCGACCAATCCGTGGTGCGCCGTGGTGACTGCCACATGGACTTGTCTCTTTTCCCAGATTGTTCCAGTTTGGTTTTCCATGACGAGGGGGGTCAAAGGGCCAGCACAGGCGTCTTCTTCTGGAGTCATGCGACTGAAGTATGCGCATGGAATTTGGATTTTTAGTTATGTGAGTCCCTTGTTTGTGGGAAATGCTGTGAGCTTGTTATGTCCCCTCACAGATTGATAGAGAACTCCGGATATTTTGGCCGACAAAAAGTGAGACTCACATATATGATGCTATTGATACATGTTGGCCGAACTCAGTTAATGTATATTGACCGAACCTCGTTGGTCAAAAGTCCGAAGATCTTTGCTGCGAAAAGGCAACAAGTGACTGGGATGCTATTGTCCGTTGTCCATGGGTGCATTCGATCGGACCTCATTTAGAACCCTGGGTCTGAAAGGTGTTCATCAGACACCCCAATAGATTTGGCAATCGATGGGCTCTCTGCTACGCGGATCCAATGACCAACGGTCCCTTTGTAGCTAGCTGGGCACAGTTCTTGTTGGGGGCCTGCGAAACAGCTGGACAGCCCTCGACTATGAACTCCTCTCTTGGTTGATTGGTGAAGGAATATACATGTATTAATATATGAGCCACGGACAAAACACACGAAGACCACTTTATCAAGGCGGGGTACGTTTTTGCATAACACATGCCAAAACCATGCAAAACGATAAGGTCTCCCCCAAAAACGATAACCCTTAGCTAACACACGGCTCTATAATAACCCCTGCAGTTGCAACTTAGCTAGGGTGGGACCCTTGCGTGGCCACCGTAAAACGAGAAGGCGAGTCGCCACTTTCGAGCCGGAGCTGCCAAGGTGTGCTTCGTAAATACGACACTTGTATTGAGAAGTTGCGATTTTCGAGCTGGAGTTGCGGAAGTGTACTTCGCGTACTAGACTTGTACTACAAAGTTGCGATTTTGGAGCTGGAGCTGCGGAAGTGTGCTTCCCGTACTAGACTTGTACTACAAAGTTGCGACTTTCGAGCTGGAGCGCTGTGGAAGTGTGCTTCCCGTACTAGACTTGTACTACAAAGTTGCGATTTTCGAGCTGGAGCTGCGGAAGTTTACTTCGCGTACTGGACTTGTACTACAAAGTTGCGACTTTCGAGCTGGAGCTGCGGAAGTGTACTTCGTGTACTATACTTGTGCTACAAAGTTGCGATTTTCGAGCTGGAGCTGCGGAAGTGTACTTTGCGTACTAGACTTGTACTACAAAGTTGCGATTTTCGAGCTGGAGCTGCGGAAGTGTACTTCCCGTACTAGACTTGTACTACAAAGTTGCGATTTTCGAGCTGGAGCTGCGGAAGTGTATTTTGCGTACTAGACTTCTACTACAAAATTGCGATTTTCGAGCCTGAGCTGCGGAAGTGTACTTCGTGTACTAGACTTGTACTACAAAGTTGCGATTTTCGAGCTGGAGCTGCGGAAGTGTACTTCGCGTGCTAGACTTGTGCTGCAAAGTTGCGATTTTCGAGCGGGAGATGCGGAAGCGTACTTCCCGTACTAGACTTGTACTACAAAGTTGCGATTTTCGAGCTGGAGATGTGGAAGTGCACTTCGCTTATACTAGTCTTGTACTACAAGTTGCGATTTTCGAGCTGGAGCTGCGGAAGTGTACTTCGCGTACTCGACTTGTACTACAAAGTTGCGATTTTCGAGCTGGAGACGCGGAAGTAAGTGTTCTTCGCGCGCTAGACTTGTACTACAAAGTTGCGATTTTCGAGCTGGAGATGCGGAAGTGTACTTCGCGTACTAGGATTGCACTACAAAGTTGCGATTTTCGAGCTGGAGCTGCGGAAGTGTACTTCGCGGAAGTGAACTTCGCGTACTAGACTTGTACTACAAAGTTGCGATTTTCGAGCTGGAGGGCTGTGGAAGGGTACTTCCTGAACTAGACTTGTACTACAAAGTTGCGATTTTCGAGCTGGAGCTGCGGAAGTGTACTTCCCGTACTAGACTTGTACTACAAAGTTGCGATTTTCGAGCTGGAGATGCGGAAGTGTACTTTGCGTACTAGACTTGTACTACAAAGTTGCGATTTTCGAGCTGGAGATGAGGAAGTGTACTTCTCTTACTAGACTTGTACCACAAAGTTGCGATTTTCGAGCTGGAGATGTGGAAGTGTACTTCGTGCTACAAAGTTTCGATTTTCGAGCTGGAGTTGCGGAAGTGTATTTCGCAGTTCGAAAACACTGTAAAACGATAAGGTCTCCCCCAAAAACGATAACGTTCAAAAAAGTACTAGGGCCAAGTAAAGTGTTTCGTCCGCTCCTCATATATATAAACACATTATACACATGTATGAATATGTATATATTTTATCAGGACCGATTTAGGTGGTTGTGTTCCTGGTTTCAACTGCAAACATGTCCGAACAGGGGTTGCCTAGTTTCAGCCAGACCCTTGCCTCCCAGCAGACCAAGCCACGCCCCGCTCGTTCTTAGGTCGTAGATGACGGCGAGGAGGAGCATGAGGACAGACAGTGAGTCGTGGAATGGCATGACATTTTGGGTTTGCCGGATGATAGCTTTGGTGCATGTTGCTTGGATGTTAGGACTTGAACTTTTGGCCAACTAATGGGTTTCTCTTTTCAAGCCACAAAAGCATGGGGTGCCAGGACCGGGTACCAACTCAAAACGGGCATTTGGCTGTGGGTCAAGACCAATGGTACCATGTTGGTTGGTAGGTGAATTCACCACCCGCAATAGAACTTATCTTAGTGGGGATTGGGATGTTCACTGGCGGTACGGGCTTTGCACCCATGGCCATTTGGGTTTGCCAGATGATACTGTGCATGGTTGGGAGATCCATTTCGCACCACCTAAGAAACCCTGGTTTCTGATGATTCCCTTGTAAATACCAACAAGCAATGGCTTCTCGTGGTTTCAAAGTGGCGCAGGATTTCGTCTATCCACAGGATTGGTTTGCTTTTTGGAGTGATTCCCACTTATCACATATGAGGATTAGGAGCTTCCCGTTTTGAGCAACCTGGTATTTGCAAACTCTGTTGTTGTAGTTGCTCTTTGATTTGGCTTTGCAACAAATATAGCAGAAATTGGCCGAGTTTCTGAAGCCAGAGGGGGTTCCGAAGACACAAAAAAAAACGGGTGTCGGGTGTCGTGCTCGGTACTTTTGGTTGCGGTTTACGGGGAACACGCTCATGTTGGTTGCGCAGTTTTCCAGAGAGTCCCGTTTGGCCTATACCCTCATTCTTAGCATTGCGGGGAGTGACTCGATTCCCGGAACAACGTCTTCAGCGAGCTCTTCACAAAAGAGCCATTGCAACCGTGAAGCATTGAGGAAACCATTCTTCGAGAACCTGAAGCATGGAGGCGTGGCTACTACGACAAGCCTCGGTCATGGGAGCTTTGTGGCCCAAGCTGTTTGACGAGAACGAGATCACTCGCGAGCCCAGGCCTGGAGCAAACCCTCGGCCAAAGACGCTTCAAACTCGTCTTGTTCTTGGCTCGTCGTCATAGCGTGTGGGAAAGCGGCTGTGAGGAACATGCTGAGTTGTGTAAGGGACTTTTGTCGGGAATGTTTGCGCAAGGGCAGCTCGTTTGAATGCAAGCGATCAAGTAAGCCTATATCCCCGTAAACTCGCCAAGCACCGTGGCGTAAGAGTGCCTTACGACCTAGGTTTGAACAAGACCTTTCGAACAGAGCTCAAGAGGGGACGCTGTTGTCGTTTTGATCTTAGGGACACGAGGGGCTGCTTCTTGATGTTATTAGCTTCCCAAACTACCACTTAAAATCCGAAATCCTTCAGAGCTCTTGGTAATATGCTATTTGTTTGGGTAGCTCTCGGCCGCCCGAGTCACCTCGCACTGAGGAAGCGCGTTCAAAGCGGAACAGCTGCTTGTTTGCCGGCCGTTCGAAGCTGAAAATCCGCACGGACTTTCAACCAATTCCATATGTGTCAAAATAGGGGGTTGGGCCCCGCAAATGGCGACTCTCCAATTTTGGTTTTCCTCGGAATCAAGGTGAAAGGAGTACCCTCAAAGACGCACAGACAGACAGACAGACAGACAGACAGACAGACAGACAGACAGACAGACAGAGAGAGACAGACAGACAGACAGAGACAGACAGAGACAGACAGAGACAGACAGAGACAGACAGACAGACAGACAGACAGACAGACAGACAGACAGACAGACAGACAGACAGACAGACAGACAGACAGACAGACAGACAGACAGACAGACAGACAGACAGACAGACAGACAGACAGACAGACAGACAGACAGACAGACAGACAGACAGACAGACAGACAGACAGACAGACAGACAGACAGACAGACAGACAGACAGACAGACAGACAGACAGACAGACAGACAGACAGACAGACAGACAGACAGACAGACACACACAGAGAGACACCCACAGATACACACACACAGATGCGCACACAGAGGCGCGCGCACAAACAGACACATCATGACACATCCGAATATTTCCGAATGACTTTGGCGGCAGCACTAAACCCATGGTAAGATGTTGGGATCAGCCTTGAACCTGTCTGAAAGCCGAGAGGAGCCCGAGCAACCTCTGAGGCGCGCTTGCGGGGCGCGCGCTCCGGTGGAAGTTCCCGGCTGTGCAAAATCGTATGGCAGAACCTGAGTTCTCCCTATCGCCAGGTGCATGTTCCAACGGGGCATTGAGGGACCCCATTCACTGAAAACATACCACGAAAACAGGCCATTGGCACACACACCCCGCGCAACAGCCTTTCTTTGGGCTTCTTGAAGGATGGTTGCATTAGCAGTAAACAGATTTCCTTAGGCGTTCCTCGTTGCACCGAGTGGCGCCAAGGGCTTCTAGCATCAGCCGGGAAAATAAGCGGAGGTTGGGTTGGTTCCATGATGCATTGATACTGCACAACAGAGTACCTTATATTCCTTCCCAATATGTTTTTCAAACTGCGGTTTGCAATCATGTGAGTGAAGAGAGAGAGAGAGAGAGAGAGAGAGAGAGAGAGAGAAAGAGAGAGAGAGAGAGAGATAAGAAAAGAAAGAGAGAAAGAGAGAGAGAGGGAGGGAGAGCCAATCCCTGAGTCTGGTTCCCCCTCCAACGAGGGCTGGCCGGACATTTGAGCGCCAAACTACTCGACAGAAGATTTGAGGCCCGGTGATTCTAGCCTTCGCGCAAGAAAATAAGTGACTAGTACAGCGTAAGCTCCGCAGAAGCTCTAGTTTGATGCTTCAACGAATCTCTGGTTTGCGCATACATCGCGTGCTACATTTGCACGCGATGAACAATTGCGATCTGCGAGCTGGAGCTGCCAAAGCTAGATTTGCGTGCTAGACTCAAAGCCTGCGCCGTGTAAGTGGCTTGCGAGAAACCTGTGGTCGCGTAAGTTTCGGGGAAGCAGCAACTAGTAGAACCACAAACTGATAGGTTTTGGGCAAAGCTCATTTGGGTTCGTTGATTTTGAGGCTCGGCGCCATTTTTGGGGAGGTTTGTAGAGAGCCAAGAAATTGACGCCGGGCCCACGTTGGGCGTCCGAGACCCAGTTTGGGACAACCCTGCATGAAGAGACACCTGGAGCCCCGAAACGCCACTTGGTTTTTTCGGTCAAAAGGCATAGTTGGCATGTTTTTACCCGAAAGGTTGTTTTTTTCGGTCATTTGCCTTAGTTGCCCGTGTTTGGCCGTATAAAACCCGTATTTTGTCGATAATATATTGAAAAAAAGCGAAGGAGCACGTATTTGGCCGTATGACAACGTTTTTCGGGCAAAGCCTTTTGACCAAAAAAGCTGTGTGTTGGGGCCCCAGGCAGCAAACAGACTCCCTCAAAATGTAATTAAGGACGGTCGGAGGGTCGCTCGACCCTTTTCGACGTGGTAAATGAGGGTGGGCGGGTCTGGGAAGCTCAAGTAGGTTCTCATCTCTCTATGGTGCCATTGAGGGCCAAAGCAAAAGCAACCAACGAACCAACCAAACAGACGGACAGACAAGCCAAAAAAACAATCACTGAAAACAGTGCTGTGTTCACATAGGTGTTGTGTGTCTTGTTGTTTGTCTCTTGTCCCATATCCCATCACCAAGATAACTTCATGTTTTAACCAAGAGCATGCCTGGTTACCTTCTCAATTCGCTTGGCAGGCATCCACGGGGGGGGGGTGTAACTCGCCGTTTTTTGTACCCTTGGGCAAGCCCATGCGTTTGGCGTCATGGTCAAAATGTCCGTTTGGGGTTTGTATAGGAACTGTCATGAACCCTAGATGCTGAAGAGGCTGATTGTAAGGCTTGCTAAGGGAACCTTGAACCCTGGCTCACAGATTCAGAGTTTTGACCACAGTTGGGTCTGAAAATCAAAAAGTAACCTGTAGCCCCGGCCAACTTGGCGAATCCGTACTTTGCGGCCGCCCTTCTGATTCTTTACATGGTCTGGGGTAGGCTCCTGTAAGAGCAGGTTTTGATTTTGACTCAAGTCCGCGAGAGCGAACAGTCCTGACAATTGCTGGACGAAGTGTCAAGTACGGTGGACCAGTCGAAAGCCCTGTCATTTAGCATATGGTCATAAACTTCAAGAAAAGTGGTCGGTGGACAGAATTCCCCACTGATGAGCTGATGTCAACCATTTCGGGCCAATCAAACTCATGCCCGCATAAGCTTTCCTTGAGTACCTCTTTGGATTGATTACGAAGTCCGGCAATCCTTAATTGGTGGTTTGGATTGGTGGTTTGGGGATATTAACCCCTGAATCTGGTTGAGGGCAAGTGGGAAGCCGCCCCTTACCCACCAAGCCACCAATCCAAATCAGCTGGGAGGAAGCTGACAAAGGGAAGCGAGAGGGCGGTTGCGAGGCAGTCAGACTTCAGGCCTCGGGTGAACCTGAAAGCCAAGGCCGGCTCTTCGAGCGATGGGTCGGCTCGGGTCGGCTCGGGTGAACCCGACCCCCCGCTGCTTTTTGGTTTGCCGGTTTTTACCGGTGGGAAACCAAAGGGAACGTACTCGTTCTCGATGTTTTTTTTTTTTAGTTGCTACCTGTTTGGGGTGACATTAAAGTCAGACCCAAGGGCAAATGATGGGATCTTGCTTTGAGTTGGTACCAAAGGGGAATCATCAAGCTTGGTTCTCAAAGACATGCTCGCTGAACGAGGGCCCGGATTTGGCTTGGTCGGGTCGGGCTGAGAGTGGACCTAATGAATCATCACGCGAAGGAGTGAGTGTCCTCTTGGATAGCTGGAAAAGCTAAAGCCGATTCTGTTTAGTTTTGCAAGGTGCCCTTTTCTGCTTTTGTGTGCGGTCAGCTGCTTCAGCGCCCTTTGTAGCGACACTGCAATCACTCGAAACTGAGTTGTCCCCTTCAAATGGCCGATGTACAATGGTCTTTCCGGGTTTCCCCGCCATGAACATGCAAATTCATTGTAGCGACTGCACCTAGGATTCTTTTCAGGGGTCCCGGGATCTGGCATCCTAAAGAAAAACCACGATCCGAAAAAAATGGGGAGTTAATGTGGTGTTCTATGTTTCTTTTATGTAATTCGCTGGTTTTGGTTGTGATTCTTGGATCCTCCCTTGTGTTGGGGTAGAGCATGGGCCTTGTGAAATGGCATCTGCCACATTCGCACGGCGGGTTTCCGGGAGCCCTGAAAACTGATTGGGGAGGCATAGGAAGTGGCTGTGGCTCAAAACACCGGACACCAAAATGGGTTGCCCTGGGTGGAAACATGGACCAAAACCTGCGGTTTGCCCCCCATGTTTAATTTTGAGCCACACCCAAGTGAGGTCTCCTCGAATGCGCACATCGTGTCCCAATGTTGTCGGTTGGTGAATAGGTACGCGCGGTTGCCAAATGCTTCTTGAAATTCACCAAGGCATTCGAAGACTTGGTTCTCGACATCTGGGCCAAGACTCCTTTGCTCCCGTTGGATATTCAACCCACTTGGTTATCACCATGATATGTTCATCAACCCCTGCTGACATTGCACCACGTGGAAACCACGGGAAACCATTGTTGGTTGGTATTTCCGTTGGGGAATCATCAGAAGCCAGGGATTCTTGGTGTAAGCTTTCGCAAGCATCCACAGTATAGCCATAGTTCCACCCCTCAGGAGATTCTGCGGCCGAAGACCAAGTGCCGGGCAGCTCCGCCATCCGTGCCGGGTTGGAGTTAAGTGGATGGGGTGGGGGGGTGGATGGTTGGGGGGGGCGGGGAGGGTTGGGAGGGTGAGGGTGGGGGCGGGGCGGGAGGGTGGGGGGAGGGTGCGGGAGGGTGCGGGCGGGTCGGGAGGGTGGGTGGGAAAGCATGTTGACAATCACATGTTGCAAGGGGTTGTGTTTTGCAAGGATGGGATAGCGAGGGGTGAGTAAAGTGGTTTCGTGTTACCAGCATAAAGCAAATGGTGATTAATGGACACCAGCAAACAAGAAACCCAAAGACAACAAGCATCCTGGCAATCTGCCAACCATTCTAAGTCACGAGTGGTCATTGCCACAATTTCTGGCTCAGAGAGATACAGCGGTAGCTTTCATGGTGTCAACTGTAGGATGGACACATTCAAGTCTCCCAGCAGGAGTTGTGCATGTTTTGGACTTAGGCCGTGGGACGGGCATCTAGGGATCATCCCATGTCGAAAACCCCCCTGTAAAAAATATATTCGCTTGGGGGCCGAACGATATTTGCTATATTTGTGCTCCCCGGATTAGTGTAGACCAAAACGGTGGACTGGCCCAAATGTGGCCATTTCCTCATCAATCATGGGTTGCCCTCCCAAATGGATTTGACGATTGCCCCTTTCGTAGGCTGAACGTAGGCAACTTTTTTTGCCGGGCGCGGGTATGGTTTCCAGCGTTTCAGGGTTGCCATACGGTGAATTTTGCCCGGGTGCTGGCTTTCCGTGGGTGCGTGTTTCGCTTTTGAGGGTGGGTATTGGTGTTGGTTCCCCTGTCGGTTTCTGGTAATGTAGGATAGTCATTCAGGGTTTGCTGCAACTCTATCAGGAAAGATGTCTTCAAATGCTGATTGCATGAATCTATCTATAAACCATGGCCATGGCGGGCCCAAAAAGTGGGCGCTTTCCCATCTCGAACACATGCCAGAGAGGACTGTAGAAGCTGCTCTCACCCAGACTTCCAGTGGGTTGCTTCCTTTTTTTTTCCTTTCCTCTTCTGGGTCCCCCAGTAGTGCCCTTTTACCCTTTTTGGGGGGAGGGTCCTCTTTATTGGAGGACCTGGCCGGTTTCATATTGGCCCAGTGTATCACATAAGGCATGGGTGTCGAACAAGAATGGGCAGAAGTGGGTGTGTTAAGGATGGGTTGTTGCGAATAAGTCCATCCTCTGTTATTGAATGTTCAAGGCAAACATGACAAATTCCTCTTCTTGTGGGTAAGTCAAGGGGATGACTGAAACCTGAAATGGGGGAACTCAACTGTCAATCATAAACGGACCCCCCCCCCAAAGCAAGACTAGGCGCCTGGCACCGTCGGACCGCATCACCGAGCCGATGTTCGCGCGTTTCAGGTGCCTCAAGTGCCGCATCCCCCCTCAGAGCCGCCCAGCTGGTGGCGCTGTGAGAAGGAGCGGCCGGAAACGCGCCCGCACCGTCACGTCACCAGCATCCCAACTAGGTCCCCCAGCAATTGGTCTTGGTTGGGAGGGCAAGTCCCTACTAAAATAGATTACAGCAAAACAAAAAGTTGGTACCCTTATTCCAACCTCTCTACGGGAGGACCTAGCCAATCTGCATGCACCTTAGCACCCAGCCGTCAATCTCACAAATAACTTCCCCCTCTTTATTAGAAGCTAGAGTTAGAACCCCTATAGTACCTATTGCTTTTTAGCTATTTTGGGAACTATTGTTCCCAGAGGCTCCTCATAAATCAATGGAGGGGTCTTCCATTGAAAGCCGTAGGAGCCTTTGGGTTTGGAGTTTGCTTCTTCCCCCCTTGTGTCCTTCTCTCTCCCCTCTTTCATGTTAGTATCTCTCCTTTCTTTTGTCTCTTTCTCTCTCACTCTCTCTCTCTCGCTCTCTCTCTCTCTCACACTCTCTCCCTCTCACACTCTTTCTCTCACACACTCCCTCTGTCTCTCTTTCTCTCTCTGACTCTATCTCTCTTTCCTTTCCTCTTTCTGTTACGCGCTCGCTCTCGCTCTCTCTCTCTTTATCTCTCGCTCTCTCTCACTCTCTCCATACATATTATATATACAGTCGGATATGTGTCTATTGTTATTGTGTTGGTGTAATTGGGTATCTATGTATTGGTTTTGGGCTTAGATTTCTTGATTGGTTTGACCTGGTTATAGCTGTATGTATGCATGTCTATTCATAATTGTGTGTGTGTGTTTGTTGATGTATATTTGTGTATTCCTTTAGTGATTCCTTCATTGATTCACATTATGTATTGTTTGATTGATTTATTTGTCCATTTGTTTAATTTTTTGCGTGTTTATTTATTCATGTTTGCATGTTTATGTTGTTGATTCGTTCGTAGTGTTGTTGTATGTATTTATGGTTTCTTTGCTTTGCTCTTCATTTCAGTATGGATTTGTCAAGTTTGTTATTTATATTTGTCTATTTCTCATTTATCTCGCCATCTCTCTCGTCCTCTTTCTTTCTTCACTTTTGCTTTCTCGTTCTCTTTCTCGTTCTCTCTGGGATTCCTTCTCTTTCTTTGCTACTTGTTCCCATTGCTCTTTCTCTTTCTCTCTATCTCGCCTGTGCCTGACCAAAGCTAGTGCTGCGCTCACGAAATCTGTACATGACCTTAGAGTGCGCACTCCTCCTTACTTGTTTATCTTTGTGCGCTACTGTTCAATCGTGTTTGGAAGGATTTTACTCTCAACCTTTGGCTCTTGGGTTGGGATAACATTTTTGCGCAGAATGTGAGAGACTCATCTGCTGCGTCGGCCAGGTCGCCACGCGTGTCACAAACAGATCGCAGCAACACTTGCGGTTGCAAATCCCTTGTTGGCCCTTCTGGCGTGTAATCTTGGTTTTTGCTTGCAACGCTTTCTTTGCGACTACCTTTGCAAGCTCTGCAAGCTCTTTGCAAGCGCAATGTTCCCAAGACAGCCCCTAGGAGCAAGCACGCTGAGCGACATCCTCAACAAACACATCCCACAGACCTCCGAGGACATGGCCCAAAAAACTCAGAGACAGCTACCAAACACACCGTTCACATCCTCAACGGCACGCACAAGCCACCACACAAGCACACATCTGGCTGCTCAAAACCAATAAGATCCCATTTTGGTTGGGATTCGGTGAATTCACCACCCATTTTAGGTTTCCTATTTTAGTGGTTGGATTGGTTGATGTTCACCGGGGGCGAACCGGAGATTTGGACCCATGGCCACACGGCGCCCAGGGCCAACTCGCATCAAGTCGCCCGAGAGACGTCGAGAGAAGACGCCCTCGAAGACACCCGCAGACTGGGGGGCAACAAGGCATGGTGGTTGTTGGGAAGCATGTGTCCCATTTTTGCTGATGGTGGTTTAAGTGGGAAATCCCCACTTGCTAGAATTTTAATTTGCGCTCCCCTTCCAACGTCAACCAAGAAGGCTTTGACCTCTTTGAGGGCTGGGTAGCACTATTCCTCACACCCATGTCGCAAGACATGTCGCAAGACATGTTGCAAGGCAACAGAGGAGGCAAATGCACGTCCGTCCTACAGGTGTTTGGGTAGAACTTATGTCCTCATTGAAAGAGATACCGGGCAGGGCCGGGGCCCAGGCTCGTGCGGCAAAGCGTTGCCAGTTGCCGTGTGGAGGGGAGACACCCAGGAGTTGCTCGTACCCCGATCCTTTCAGCCAGAGGATGTCTTGGTGAATCTTCCCCGAGATGCGATTTGACGGACATTGGGCCAATGTCAGAAGTGGATGCGGAGACGGGACAATGACGAGAATGGCTTTGGGGAAAGCATGTGTGAACTGAACCTGGAATCCACTAGATTTCTCAAAAGCCATGTATGCCGCGGACTGTTTGTGTGGAGCCACGGCCGCGTGCAAAGTGGACCTCTTTCTGTCATACGTTTTTTTCTTTCTGCGTTGTCTCTTTCGTGTTCCGGAACACATCCGGGACAGATGGCTTACCGCAGATGGATTGCGCCCTCTGATGTCGCAAGAGGCCGTTTGAACTGCCTTCGATGGAAGCGTTGCAGCGGCTCACCATGGTCGCTGAATCTGTCCGAAACACTTCGCTCGTGGGTCATGCGAATATTTCCCAGCCAGAATGTTACAGGTCTGGGTTCGTGTATTACATTGGCACACCGCCGCGGTTCATGTTCGTTGCTAGAACCTGCCTCTTGGGAAGTGTGCGATGACGAAAGATGCCAGCAAAAGAACAAGATTCATCAGCGGCGCAGATATGCCCGCTATCGTATGAGGCGATACGCGATCGTATGAGGCTTCTGGCCCGACGCAACAGGGGTCATCCTTACTATGATTTTGTTTTTAGGAAAATAGTTAGAGCGGGCTGAGAGATGGCACAGTTCTCTCTGCGTTTAGTCATCCTTTTATCTACAGTGCATTGCGCCATCTACTTTCACCCAATTTGGGAGTGCATGGGAAGATGATTACCCCTTAAGCTTTTTATGCAGCCTCGTAGCCATAACGACTCGTTGAGTTTCCCCGAACGTGAGCCATCGCATGGATTCGTCAGCGATTTTCGCGCCAACTTCTAGGACCTCCAGTGGTCCTTTTTTGTTTTGGGAAGGGTGGGCGTCCCTTCCAAATCGACCAGCCGGAAAAAATATCAAATAGAAACAAAATGCAATGTTTTGTTTCTCCTCGAAATCCGCTGGAGGTCTTGCCTTGGACAACGAAACGTTTTGCTTTCGAATCTCTGAGCGAACTGCTGCAGGAGCCGAGCGCGAAAAAGCGGCCCAGGAGGGTCTACGAGGTGGGCCGGTGCTGGTTTTCCTCAAGCAAGTCGCGGCTGGCGGTTGCTCACATGGTACCTCAGTACCCTTTGAGGATGGTTTTACAGGTCCCCACCCCCCCGCCAATTCGCCGGATGTTTGCGTTCTAGTTGCAGGAAAACAGGGGTGGCTTGAGATTTTGTGGATGTACTTTGTTATTCATTGTTTGGCTGGTGTGCAAAGTGGAGGGGTCAACCTCACTGGCCCACAAAAACAGTCAAACTTGACTTGCGGGGAAAGTTAGTCTCTATTTGCTCGCGTGCATCCAATACTGCGATGACTCGATGACGATTGTTTTGGCACTCGCTTCTGGAAGGGAGTGTCGCATGGCAAGGAGAAGTAGACGGACCTTTGGAATGGGTCAATGCTTAAACCCATGCAGCTATCCTGCCATCCAGCCATCCATGATTTGCCTTCAAAGGCAATTTTTGGCATGGCGTTTCCTGATGCGGAGTCGTATAGTGAAGCAGTGGGCAGACAAATATACCACATGAGGCTGCTGATCATGGCCCGGTGCTTCTGTGATACCTGGACATCCCTCCAGATGGCTGTGGGTCAAAACCAATGGTAGTTGTTGGATTGGGATCTTCACTGGGGGTATATCTTTTTTTGAGTTGCCTATGAGCCTGTGAGTTGTCCAGCGCCGTCCGGCGCTTTTGCGCTGGACGGCGCTTTGGAAGGATCCGGAGCGGGCCCGGAGCACGAAGTCGTGGAGGAGCACGCAGGCGCCATGAAAAAGAAGCCGTTGAAGGGTTCCATCAAATCCTTGCACTTTGCCACGTCCGGGAATCCAGAGGGCCTGGAAAAAATGAATTTGAATTTGAATGGACCGGTGTTAAAAAAATATGTGGCATTTTGCCAAGGGTGTTGGGACTTTAGTTTTTTGCCAACTATAAATCACTAAAAGTTAAAATTTTGGCAGGGGAGCAGAAAGCAACCCAGAAATGGGTTCCGATCGCTTGCAAGGACAATGCATGTCGCATCCGCAAGGCTCCCGTTTGGCGGTACCAGTTTAGAGTCGCCCAACTTAAGGAGACGGACGCGGGGCTCCCCTGAAAGGGACATGAATGAGTGTCAACGTGGTCCGAACAATAAATATACTTATATATGCAAATTTACATTGTAATATAAATATATATATATATATTAAATTAGTAGTCATTCAAGTTTAAACTTTCGCCGGCCCTGTCCAATGTCTGTTTGGGGTGCAACGAATGGGCGCAATTCTTCAAAGTTGTTGAATGATGTTCAATTCGTAAACTGATTGATGCATCTTGTATTCCGCAACAATGACTGACTCTAATAGCTGCAAGATTGATGTACACCTGGCCTTGAGGGGGTTTTCCGGGATAGTCACAGAGCCTGTGGCATTTATCATGAGGTGCGAACGCATAAAGGACTATTCGGGAAGCTATTTCCAGAGGTCAAGTTTTAACAGCAAGAAGAGTTGTAGCAAATGACCTGGTTAGACGGAGCTGAGCAAGGTGAAGTGGCTGGAGTGGTTTTGGACCCGTCGAGGTCGAGATTGTCCTTGGATTTGGCATTTGTGCACAAACTGCTGGCACATCCGGGATCTGACTTCGACACTGTTTCCACCTGAAGGGAACGCCACGGAGGTGGGTTGGTGGGTTTCCACTAAAACCACACACAAATAATGGCGAAACGGGGGTCGCTGGCCCGAGTTTTGAGGTGGAAACCAGTGGGTCATTTTGCGGGGTCCCGGCGCTGTGTCCATCCTGCAGGATTGGGAGCAAGACAAGTGGAGCCGAGAAGTGAAGCTCAAAGCCCAGGCGAGACTTCCATTTGCTTGAGCATTTTTTTTGCGGGTTTTAAAGGGAATCTAGCACTATTGCACATATGTAGGGAGAGGTTTGTCATTGCGGAGTTCTCTTTTTGAATCCCCCCAAAAATGCGTAGCCTGAAAAAAAGAAAGAAAGGCACCCCCCCCGAATGAGGGGTTGGATTCCATTTGCAAAATGGGTTGAAGGATCTGTGGGAAGTCCGAAAGTCATGTCTGTCTCATGCTGAAATGTCAGAACCAGAGGGCACCTGTTCGAGTCACCAAATAAAAAAAACCCAATCTGTGGATGGGGAACCGAAGCGAACATGAGCGCCTCAAAACAAGGAACCCTGGTCTTGGAAGATGGAAGATTTCAACCCAAAATGATTTGACCAGTGGGTTGCACCTTGAGATGTGGAAGCTAGGCGAGAACTCAACACTGCAGACACGTTCCCCACTTTGAAGGGAAAGTGAGGCCCAATCAAAGACGGTGTGTTTGAAGCTTCGGCAGTCCCAACCATATCAATAGGTGCGGCCTTTCTTTTGGTTCAGTCAAAGGGTTGGAATACAGGAAATTCTACAGGAAAACATCTTATTTGGGGTGTTTTGGGGCCACTGCAAAACTGGGGGAATGATGATTGGCTACCTTTTCACCTTCCGGCCTACACTGAAGCCCACCACCGTATCTCACTGTGGGGAATAACCTACTTCAAGAGACTACACGCGTGGCTTTCACTTCTAAAATGGCCGGATGCGGAGCAGGAAAATGACCCGGGAATAACCTGGTTTGAAATGCTGCTTAACTTTAGGGTGGTCACACAATCTACCGTCTCGGTAAACCTGGGAACAGCTCAGAGGCCAATACACGCTTTACCTGAGCAAAGTGAGGTGGCTAGGCTTACCCCTAAATCTTGGAAGCGGGAGCTTCACTCGTTCGAGGCCAGCTTGCGAACTCTTCGTTTGATCTTGAATGGCCCTATCTTTCCGTGCGAGCCGATGCGTTTGTGCCGAAGCCTTCAGTGGCGCGGATACCAGGATGCCCGACCGGGCCTTTCAAGACGGCTCAAATGCCGCACCAGGGGCTCGTGGCGGACAGACGCGCGGCGAGAACACCTTGCTGCGTGGCGAAAGTGACAGACAAGGACTTCGGCGCATCTCACACGAAAGGGTGCGTCGAATTTAAGGTGCGCGGCAATTTCCTGTAGATTTTCCTGTAACCAAACCCTTTGTTTCAGGGGATATTGGGTAAGTTTGGACTGAGACTCAAGTGGTTTCTCTTATGGCGTCAATGCCCTTGGCCAAAGGTTGATCTATTGCGGTGTGTTTCTTGACCCCAACCATCCGGTTCCTCAGCTTGTTAGCCTTTTAGTTGGTTTAGTGGGGGTTTTCATTTAGCCCACTAAAACACTAAGAGTTATTTGTTTAGCAGGGATCTCAGGACAAGCCCAGTTGACAACACGTCTTGCATTGCCGCAAGGAGCATGTAATCCCAACAAGACGTCGTTCCCATTTGTGAGCACCATTGTTTCTGCATTATACGACCTTTTACCCACGTCTTTGGTCTGCGAAGGCCGACAATATCAGGTCCAATCAGGTCGCCAAGCTCCCAAGTTGCATCGCCAAGGAGCATAGTATGTTCCCCTTTTCTTGGCTGCGCTTGTGCACAACGGATCTTTCGATTGTATCCCGAATAAGCCAGAAAATCCCGCTTTGGCGGATTTTTCTCAGGATCCTCGACGGCCAATTGTCTCAGGGAAGTTCCATGGTGTCCATGGTCCATGCGTCTGGCATGGATATGTCGTGGTTATGCACTGGGGGTGTGTTTGTTCTTTTCTTGTTTTGGCGGGGAACCACGGGAACCCCTATTTTGTTGGTTCAGCAGTTTTGGGTTCCCCCAAGTTTGCGACATGCCCACATGAGAAATCCTCCCAGATCCGCCAGCGCCGGTTCCAGGCCAAAGCTCGAGAAGAAGCTGAGCCAGCTTGGAGCAAAGAAGCTCGGGCTGCAGTCGCAGGGTGGCTTCTATTTGCTGAAATCAATATTTTGTTTTAGAATTTCAATTCCCTTGTTGGTTTTAAAGGGAGTCTGTCACAAATGGACATATGTTTATTCTTTCCGTGCGGCTGAAGCAAATGGAAGGTGGGGTTGCATGCCTCACCAACCCTAGCCCTTTCAAGAGTCCATTTTTTGTTGCGAAATGACCCTTGCCAGGGTGAAGCATTTCAGCTCGATCTGTCTTAGGATGCTCCCTGGAAGCGCAACTCGAGCTCGGGCGCTCAGGCGCTAAAACGGGGGCCGGGGCCCAGCTTTTTTCAGGGGCCCCAGCCTTTTTTTTGCTCGCCACCAGGATATGGACCGCAGGTTTTCGTCCATGTTGCCACTTAGGGCAAGCCATTTGGGGTTACCTTGTGGTTTATGAAGCCAAAAAGCTTTCGGGGGGGGGTCAATAAAAAGGAGAAATAGAAGAAGGAGAAGAAGAAAAAAGGGGGGTCAAGCCAATGGCACGTCTTGTAAACCAGCAGTTCACCGAGTTTGTGGCTGGTTGTTTCATGATGCATTTCGTTGCATCCGCCAGAGGGCCCACTGGGCTTCGGGCGGGGGTTCTGATTTGTGAAGGCAACTGCTTGCTTTTGCAGTTCACAGAATGGCTGGCGTCTTGCGGCTCTTGCTTTTCGCATGAAAAACGCCATGACAATAAATAAGCAAAAATCGCACTGCAGATTTGTCCTTGGCATTCTGCAGATGGCAACTCCAACTAAGACTAGCGAAGGCTGCGGAAGTTGGAATGGTGAAAGCCCTCCCGGGATGGTGTTTAAAGAGCCCACAGAAGTTTTCACTTTGAGCCAACTACAAATCCTGGGCCTCCTATTCCCTTCTTCCTTTTCATTTGGCGGGGTTGCCCTCTAAGTATGGTCAACCCCGTACATGGCGTTATATTTCTACCAGGGTTAATTGCAGGTTAGGCATTCCTGACCCGGAACAGAAAGCAGTCAATTCGTGTGATGTCTTGTACGATTGTGGCTTTGGTTGTCTGAGTCTGGGTCATTTACAGTAGCACCAGCACCTTGTCCGCAGTTGGTCAGTCAGAATGCCTTGGCATTTGTTTGCAAGGGAAACTCACCTTAAACGCGCTAAAAATGAGAGATATGTTTAAAAGCACCAAACCAGAAAATACAGGGCCACTGTGCAACCAGGGTCGGGCAACATGTGTAGGGCGCTTGCCGTTTTTGAAGGGGCACCAAAAGAAGATCGTTCAATCAATAGTGGTGTAGACATACTGTGTTTGAAAAACAGTTGGTCCTACCCTGTTTGCAACAGGACGTGGAGAACGATCACCTCCTGAAACCCTAACTAGAAATAGAAACCCGCACTGCGATCCCGCCAGCACCAGGTTAGATCTGTGCAGTTTTAAAATGAGAGAGGGGCTGTGGCTGGTTTTCGAGAGTACCCTTTTGGGGGCGGGTTGAAAACACACACACAAAAAGCATTTTGAGGTCCCCTAAATAAAAGATCCCATGGCAAATGAGAGGCTTGCTCTCGATGAATCCAAGGCAAGGGCTGGACGAGCTGAGCCAGAAAAACCGCGCGCTCGCAGCTTCGCCGGTTGTGTGGAAACCTACGAGAAGCTATGACGGGATCAAAGGGTCCCAAGGCAGGTGTTCTTCATGAGTTGTTTTGGTGGCCAGGTGACTCCAGTCTTATTTTTTTTGTTTGGGGGGGGTCTTTTAATTTTCAGGCGCCCCCCCCCTCCGGCCCGCCAAAACAAAAAGGGGTGTGTCTTTTTTGAATTCCCTTCCAAGCCTCACAAAGCCCACCCAAGCATCGCTCCCAGTGCTTTTTCCATGGCCAAGTCACAGAGCGCGGTTGGCCAAGGTGTAGAGAGACTAATATGGCTTGGCTCAAGAAAGTGGTACCAAAATGGCACCCAAAGGTGAATGGAGCCAAAAACTACCGTTCAGCCTGAGTCTGGAGCGCAGGCTGCCAACGGATTCCCCAAGTGCCAGCGGAGACTTCCACCTCTTTGGCTTAAAATGTTCCCTTGAAAAGCCCCAAAGGGTCTTATTTTGACAAGTATGAAGGGGATGGGGGGGCGAGGTCGCAAACCCATACTGATACCTCTCGTTTGGGTCTTTTTAACGGATGTCAGCTCACGGACTCCTCTTCTTTGGCCTTTCCATGGTGCCCAAGCAACACATCTTTGAGCACGTGTAAGCTGGTTGGGGAGCCGGACTTGGAGCTGGGGGCTAAGGAGCTACCAGTTCTGTAAGCACAGGGTAGGTTTCTCTTGGTGTCATGCTCGTCTAGGAAACATTGCCCAGGATTTCCCCCGTTGACGCCCGCGCACTCTTTTGCGTACAAGGGAGAGCTGCGCTAGGAGCGACACTTTTATTACAGAGGGGTCTCGCCAGCAACCCAAGTATGCCCCTGTGGCGTTGACAAATTTAATACCTTTTCTAAGTTCAAGTGGAGTTCCGTCCTCTCGGAACCTGTGCAGAGAAGGCTTTGGTTCGGCGGACCAGCTGAAACACAAGCAACAGATTCGGGTATATGCTAATCTGGAAGCATACAAAGTGTCCTTTCCGCTGGGTTTTCCCGTTGAACCAAATTAAACAGCTACCCTCAAACAAGCCAGCAGACAAACAAACCAACAAACACACAAACAAACAAGCAAACAAACAAACGCGCACACACACGCTCCCGAGCAAAGAGGCGATTCCTTGTGACACGCGGACCCATGGAGGGCGTAGCCTCCAAATGCCTGGGGAAGCCGGGAAACCAAGAGTCCAATGCACGAGCCAAAAACTCACGTGGGTCCCTCAGAAGGAGGATCCTCTCTAAATGGTGTTGGTTTTGAAGAAAATAACATGAAATGGCGCGTATATACGTGAACTTGTCAAGTGGAGGAGACCCCGCGTAAAAGAATGAGGGTTCACTTTTTTGTTGTAAACAACAACCTGAAAAGGGGCTTCCTCGAAACAGATTTCCCCACTTGAGGGTGTGACAGGACTCAGGGCTTTGCAATCCCAGTGCTTTGCCGCCGTTATTTTGGGAGCCCCGAAGAAAACAAAAGTTGTTTGTCGACCACTTGCCATTTCTCATCTCCAAGTCACAAGGGAACATGTCGCAAGCCCCGCGGCTCTGATTTCTGGCTTTTTCGGGCGTGCCCCTTCCCAGCCCCTTGCGCAAGCGAGATACGGCGATGTTGCCTGAAATGCTCTGGGGGGGGAAGCCTCCACGGGTCCGAAGGCAACCCTTCGAATGGTGTTACGCGCTCTGCCAACACGATGTCAAACTTGGGTTCTTTCAAATGGCCACTCGGATGCTACGCCTTACATGACCGTCCTTTGGTGCAAGCTGAAACCTGATCATTGGAACCTGTTTAGGGTGCCCTGGACCAATGAGGAGCTTGAGCAATTCATGGTGTGTTTCTCAGTTCGGAGACTCTAATTCTCACTGCTACAGCGGCTATCGATGAGCAGGTCTAGTACTTGGCCGATTTGATGGCTGGGATCATTCTCAGTTAGGTACAGTTGTCATACAGTTGATATGTTTTGTGCTAACATAACAAGCCAAAACCAGTTCCCCGATCAAGACACACCCAAGTTTTGCGCAGAAATGGGGCCCATGACAAGGTCAGGTGGTGTTCCCAACAGCCCCCTTGAACCCTTCCTGCTCCCGCTCCGAACCATTCCTTGCTGCCTATTTGGGCTTTGAGCTGGGAAAACAGCTTGTCTGCAACATCCAAAGGAAGCGGTTGAGACCCCTAAAGCTTGCAACCAGGCTTCGGTAGAAAACGAATTGGACACATATGAATAGTGGTAAACTAAAGAATATAGTTAGTTATGAGTTATGTAAAGAAAAATAGTAAATAATACATTATCTATTAATGAAGTTAATACAAGTAATCATGTTATTACAATTATAGAAACAATGTAGATAATTAGTCTATTTATTATATATAACAAATACTTCAATATATATATAATATAACTATCAACAAATAATGCTAAACATTATTGACAACATATCAGACATACACTTAAAATATTCAATTATAAATGAAACAATAATATGTGAGCAAAATATTAACAACGGTAAAATAATTGCTCTTCAGTTTGAATTATATATTATAAAATCATTAAAGGCTTAGATGGCCCAGGTATTTGTGGTGACATGACAAAACCAACGGGTCATGTCTGCGGATTCTTCAAAGGAACGATTTTCACCTCGTTCACTTCCCACCTTTCAGCGGCAACATTCTATGCTGTCAGGAGGGAAGTTGGTGAATATGCTACCATTCACGTCTACTCATTCATGAACTTTAAACTTTTTGGGAAGACCATTTTAGTGGTAATTATAAAGTTTGAACTTTTTTTGGGCCATCCACTCAGCCAGTGAGTCTATAGGACAAAAGATTCTGGTCCTTTCACAACGTGCTTCGACAAGTCGTTCCATGATGAGGAGAATAGACATCTGATTGTTGCTACCGAATATACGGGACCACGCTGAACCAGATGGTCCTTCGTTTTTTTTGGTGTCGGAAGAATTTATTACGAGCTGCAGGAGCCATTAGGTGACTTTCAATTTGACCGAGTCCATGAGGGATTGGGTAACGGCGTAGGCAGAAGATCCTAACACGTTTAACACACCAACAGAGTTGGAGCTCGTGAAAAACGAGGGCCTACTTGCCGGCGCACGCTTGTAGCTTCAACGGACGAAACAGTGGCAACAAGGAAACAGAGAAAAATGTTGGAACAGGTGCTACAAAGGGCGCAGGAAAAGGTTCTGAGAAGATGGAGAACTCAGAAAGGTACAAAGCAAGCAAGAAGGGCAATGAGAAGATGAAGATTCGAAAGAATTAAGACATTCTTGCGCTATTGTGCCAGCATGAATCTCGAGTGACGTTGCAGGACTTGGCTGTACAACAAACACGGGAGGATTGCTAGGTGCCACAATGTTGTACAGATAAGACATGTGATTCCTTTCCATCATAGAAAATTTTGCACAGTGAAGATGGATAAAGTAATTATATTTTGTTCATCTTGCATTAGGTTCTAAATATTTCATTTTTTAAAAGTCAAGTATACATGTATATTTACTCTTTATTATTCTCATATATTCCATGTTCTGATAATTTGTATCCTAAGTGTTAGCAATAGTTCTCATAGTTCTGTTAAATTCCATGCTTCCTGGAAAGTAAAATAAACTATAATAAAACTTGTCCATGAAACAAATATCACATCTATTCTTCGAACTAATTTGTTTTTTATAATTTAAAATTCCATATATGTTGTCTTATATTGTTTATCAGTCATATTATGTACTAATCAATTTGCATCTTCTATTTTTTGAATAGTTTCTTTTAAGTAATCATTACGTAAGTACGGTTGTTAATAACACATCTATATCACCTGAACAATATGTTTGTCTTCTACTCGAAAGGCTATGTCTAACATAAACACATTATCACTTAAATTATCATTCATGTTTTAATACTTGTATCTAATAACATTTTTTATGTTATCGATTTCTTTTCTAGGGATATTATCAAACATATACTGTTTTTCCCCATATATTTTTCATTTACTTCTATTTCTTCTGATCTTATTTTCCTTGTTAAAATACTTAATATATTGTCTGCAGTTTTTGTTTTATTAAAGAACCAGCAACACCAACCAACACAACCTACAAGACTACCCTCCCTACCACCAACATGGCACCTGACAGGGGGTCCCTGCAAGAGGAAAACGATCTTCCGGGTGCCCTCCCACAAATGCTATGTTAGTGGGAGGCAGGGAAACAAGACTATTCAAGAACCAACAAACCCAACCAACACAACCAACAAGACCCACAAGACCCACAAGACCCACAAGACCACCAAACCAAAACAGACCCCAGCGGGCGAGTTTGACTGGTCCAGGCTGAAGCTGCCGCCCGGCGCTGCCGTGTACCTCGACCAGGTGCTCGGCGAGCTGACGGACCGGGAGATGCAGGCGAGGGGTTTGGGCGACTGACTCACTGACGGACCCCCGGCGTTTTGCGAGGCGCCCCAGCCACTTACCTCTTAAAAACCACAAAGCTTTTCGTAACTTTTTGGGGGTAAAAGATGAGAACTTCCCCAGGGCGCAGGGAGTTTTAAGGGGTAAGGCCAGGTGCCCAGTTGTCCGTTGAGAGGGAAGCAGCAAAACAAGAAGTGCAAGGAACCAAGCGGGAGTTGTTTCTTGCAACGAATGAACATCCAGGTCCCCCCTAGGTGCTCTGTCTCACCAACTTTTTTGGTTGGGAGGGTTCAACGGTTCCCTACTAAAACATAGGGATGGGTCCCCCAGCTAGGTGCCCTTTTTACCGTAACTGTTTTGGTTGGGAGGATTCCTCTACTAAAAACAGACAACAGAAAAAATGGTATAATTAGTGCCCTTTTAGAGTTTCTTTTTTTGAGGAGGGTTCCCCTACTAAAATAGGCTACAGAAAAAAAAAGGTACCAACTTATTCTAAACCTTTTACTGGAGGATCTGCTACTGGGCGGTGCCACTTTCAGCTGTTGATGGGTTCGACTACCTGGTTTGGGCTCTGGGTTTATGGCAAGCCCAGCCAACCGGTTGATTCCTTAGCTTGTTAGTTGTTTTTAGTTGGTTTAGTGGTAGTTTCCGAATTTCACCCAACAAGTTAATCTTTTGTTGATTAATACGGGGTCAACCTTAGATGGCACCAATTTGGGTGAGAAGTGCGGATGACTCAACCAAGAAGGCTTGGACATGTTCCATCCCAGCCATCCCTTGGGTGCCTTAGCTTGTTAGTTGTTTTTAGTAGGTTTAGTGGTAGTTTCCGAATTTCACCCCCTAAAAACGTTGTTCACTTTCAGCGGGGGATCTGAGGACAGCCCATGCATTTTAGGTTCGGTACCACTTCTGGCCGTTTATGGGGTTCTACTACCTGGTTTGGGGTTAGTGTTTTTTGAGGGTACCTCCTTTCAAGTTGGAAGGGAAAATCCAGCGGGACATCACCCGTCAAGCCACAAACCCCCACCAAATGTCCAATGTTGTTTTGGGGGCACAAGTCATCTTGACCGTAGATAATTTTGGTTAAGTGGCAACATAGGCGGATCCCCAAAAACAAGAAGAACGGCTTTGTTTCCTTGTGGTTTCCCTTCAAACCAAGGTGAAAAGGGGCTTAATGTTGGACCTGCTTTGGAACTGTTTAGGGGTTGCGAAGCGTGGGCCTGATTGTTCTTGAGAGAACAATTGGGCCTTAGCCTTTTAGATATTTCAACTGTGCAAGTGGTCCCCAAACCATCAAAGGGTGCCACAAAAGCCCCTCATGCTGTTTAATCTGACGGTTTTGGGGTCTTTCTTACTGTCAAGCTTTTCTGGCGTGCGGGAAAATCTGGCGATATTCAATTTGGAATTGGCAATGCTAAATGAAGTGCTGGGCATCGCAGGTCAAGACGCGCCAATACTAGATTTAGAATCGGCAATGCCAGATTAGGAAAATTGGAGAAAATCTTGGAAGTACTAAGTTTCGATTGGGCAACTCTAAATTAAGTATTGGTGCGCCCAAGTCCAACCCAGACCCGTCCTGTTCCACTAAAGAGGGTTCAATTGACCAGTGGCACTATCCCAAGGGGCTTCATATTTTTTAGAAGGTTCAATATTATTAGTCCATGTGTTTCCCTTGAAGTCTCCGTGGCTCACTTCCCCTGGTCCCACATCTGAGTATTCCTCGCAATAAAAAAGGCCCTGAAATAATATAATTGGAGCGGGGATTGGAGAATTCGTTGTTTTTTTGGCTCGCCCGTATATTATTTAATTTCCGTCCCAAACAAGAAATCAACCAAAGAGAGAAGTGGTGTTATTTTTCCTGGAGAATTCGTGGCGTGCAATTGCTGAACCTTTATGCAGCTGGAAGGGACCAGCTGTGGTGACTGAAGCCTGCCCCTGCTAAGTCTTTTTAACAGGAGCCCCTGCCAAAAGCCACCTGGAAACGTAGGGCCTGCAAGAGAAGCCTGTGGACACAACCAGGGCCTGCCTTGTGTTGGTAAGGTGATGCCTGAACATTTCCTGGGGGTGTCTTTGGCTTAGATTGCTGTTTGTTGGGATTTGTTCAAAGGAAAAGGGGAACCACAAATTGTTTGGGAGGGATCCCCGCTTTTCTCAGACATCCTTTTGGTATCCCCACACCCGACTTCATGCAGGAAGGGACCCACGTCATGGAGGTAATCAATCTCTTTGCTGAGGACTTTGAACATGTGCAGATGCTGCTGGAGCCCTTCCTGTTGGATGCTTTGCCCCTCGGCTCACCGGCACGCAGCGAAGCCTCCAGACTCCAGATGTCAATTGTTGTTGAATTGTTTTAGTTTCCAAAACGAGAAACCCAAAAATGATCTGTGGTTTTGTCATGTTGGTTTCC